TCGGAAATTTGGGTTAATTTGTTCAATAAATCTATCATAACTCATAAGTATGTTTAAATAAATTATGTGTACACCCATATTGTCCAATAAATATGTTTGAGTAAAAATATAATATTAGTTAATATCAACAAAATACATAAATTATACATATATATTTGATCTTAAATACAAGTGTTAAAAGCTAATATTCAATGCATTTTATTAATGTAATTAATTATAAACTATACCAGCTAGGTATATAGGGAACCAGTCTTAACTCAGTCAAAAAAAAATCCATCAATCATGATTTTTTAGCTAACCAAATCAAACCTTTAGATTGTATATCTCGAAACCAGAATTTAAACCTAAGTCAAAAAAAGCATTAAGTATCAGAATCAAAACCAGAACTGAAAAAACTAAAAGGTTCCTGTCCCTGATAATAACATATATATTAAAACATCCGGTCATGTCCTAATACATTTTCTCCACAATCAATTCAATTTGAAGGACAGGAAATGAAAAATATAGATATGGGTACCACACTAACATCCTACACAAATGCTGACCAACGTTGTTTAAAATTATAATAGTACTAAAAAAGTTATARCAACATAGCAATACTAAAATATGAGTTATGATCTCGATATGACCTTAAAATAATATAAAATATAGTATGATARTAATTAAATATAAATTGTACATACTAGTTTTGTAGGGCTGACTTTGTCATGGACAATAAACACATTTGGCGCATCAGGTTTATAAGTCACTTCACTGGGCACAAATGACAGTGGAATGGATTTGATAGTTTTACTATGATCAGTTGTTGTAAATATTTTACGGTTTATTACATCTGTGTACACACACTTAAGAGGAAAAAAAATGTTAATAAATATAATATATACAAACCATAATTAAATAATAAAAATTACATATGTTTTAAATGTAGGGTGTATGTAAAACTTGTCAATAGAAGCATATAGATTTTTAGCAGCGTCTATTTTAAATTCTTCTGTCTTATTAATATAAGTATCTCCATAGTCATATGATATGTACACAGATGAAGAAGGATATCCTTCACGAGCCAAGCATATGATAACATTTGAGTTTTCACCAACCCAGTGTACCATTAACTGTTGCCGAGTTTCATTTAAATGAAAAACCTGAAAAAGTAATATTACCATTAAATATCAACTTCATTTTGAAAATAATTTAATATATTAATATTAATTAGTTATTTTTTGAATACAATAACTTAAAATTTTTTGAATTAAATATATAAATCTTAAAATTATTTAACATAAAAAAAACGATGGGCAAAAATATTGTCATTTGTAGGTATATTAATTTAAGGAGATCGGCAAAGGACAATTATTTTAGTCAAAACATACCAATCATTTATCCATCACACAGATCAATCTAATAATACAATAATACTTTTTAAAAGTGATCTGAATTCGTTATTATATATACTTTAGATCAGTCAGTTCACTTTTCCCAAATTCTTTCCAACAGCTATAAATTTAGTTTTAATAGTTTTTGGAATTTTCAAATTATGATTATTAGGAATTTAAATCAGAAATCTTAAAATTTCACATTAAAATAAATTTATACCAGATTTCTGAAATATTATTGCATTATTAGGTTGATCAGTAATAGGATGGACAAAAGGTACATACTGCGGTACATACATATGAACATAATTCATTCACATGTGCAATGCTGAGGTAGTGAGTTGTACATCTGTGTGAAGAAGCATGCCGCTATTTGTTTTACATAATATAGTCACACAAAATAATTTACGCTATTTGAAAATTGCCTATTTCTTACTCCTTAAAAACCAAGTTAAAAACAGAATTATACCAATCCCCATAAGGTACTACAACTTCAAGAGGAAATTATTTTTAGAGTTATATAAATGAAGATATGTCATTCATGGAAAACCATATATCTATGCCCCATATTTATTTTAAAACCTAAGACAATTAGGTTATTTTTGATTAATTTAAATATATTKTGTTATTAATCTAAAAACTAATCAAATTGATAACCTGTAATAACCTAACCATTAATATCTTTCCTCCCAACTGTGAAATACATATGACGTTATAACTTAAGATAAATTAAAATGTATTATTTTAAGTAAATTTACTGTGTGAGTGAATTATAGTTAAGTAAAATAATAAATTCAACACACTACTAATAAAGGGGATAAATATGCACCTACCTTTTAACTAAGCTTTTATAATATTAAATACCAACTGGCATAAATTATTTTACTATAGAAGAACTRCTTAAATATATAACAAAAACGATAATCAAACATTCAGAATAATTTATACAGGTAATCTATGATAAAGTTTGTAGGTGACTATCTCGATACCTATTCTTTAAATCTTTCAAGACTCATTTCTCAATAATAATACAATTGATTATAAAATAGTTACAGTTGGCTAGAGTACCTCTTAGGATCTAGTAACTAGTTATCTAGGATAGGTACCTAAATAAGTAGTAAATTACTATATTTTTAAGATTTGTTATTATTATCAAGTGAAAGCATTTTACTAAATTCACTAATAATAATAATAATAATTGAGATATTATGAGTAATATAAACGCGGAGATGGCGCTGAAATATTATTATTATTATTTAATACATTTTTAATAACAACAACGTACTGTAGTTATAAAAATTGTAGTAAATTGTAATACTTCGTAACCACTGAACAGATAAGACGATTCAACTCACTACTACTAATATTATGAGGGTATGTTATAGAAAAATATAGGTATGGTAAGTATTTTATTGTTTTTATAAATTTTAAATTTGGATTATTTCAAATAAAGTATAAAACTTATTTAATTATTTAACAATAAAAATGTAAGTAAATAATTACATTGTTAAGATAGGTAGTACCTATGTACATTATCTATTCCGAGATCTATTCTCTAAATAAACAAATGGTTGAAAACATAATAAATATACAATACTTGCTAGTTAAATAATCAATTATTAAGTCAAGTACCTACATATTATATTTTCCTATTTATAAACAATATTTATTTTATTTACTTCCTTATATATTATGGTAAGCATTGGCTCAGGTAATGACATCTGACATCTTTTATCATCCTGGCAGAGGCTGTATTTATTTATATTTTAAATTAATACATAAAAAAGTAAAAAAGTATATTATATTTTAACATACATTCAAGACAGATAGGTCTGTCYTTCCCATCCTCCATTCAAAAAATGACGACTGGTTGGGCACTGTTTATCTCAATTCATAATACTGCTACCTCAATAAAGACGACTACAATAAATTCTACTAATAATTAGGTAAATTTATTACAATATTATAAGAAATTTTTGATGTCTTCTACTACATCATGTTAGCACTCAGCACAAATGTACTGTTTATTTTCTCAATCTCACACAAGTGTATCATAGAGAAAACGCATTCATAGTTCATACCAAATATTTTATTTTACATATTATATGATTAGTTTTAAAAATAAAATCAGAAGTTACACAAATTAAAGAAAATTATATTATAGAAGGTGTGATAATTATAYTCATCTGATTATTGTAACAAAACAATTTAATATAATTTAAAAAATGTATTTTAAAAGTAACATAATAATAAAGCATTAAAACTGATATATCAATCCCTAAAAAATATTATTTTCTATAATTTTTATAATTGATGATTTTACTCTAAATTTACACAAGAACAATTTAAAAATAAAAATAAAATATAGGCAGGTATGTGACTGCATTTGATCTGTTGTAAGTGGGTCTGAGAGAAAATAAATATAGCTCTGACATCCTCTTTAACAGATATATCCAAGTATAAGCTTCCAATTTTATAATATTATTAACTGTAGGTATATTAGACATATTATATTATATTTATTTTTATAAAAAGTATAATATGTACCTATTAAATAAATGGTTGATTTATTTATCAAGCCTCTTAATTTAACATTTTCTGTGTTTGGCAGAGTGATAACATTTTTACAGTCTATGGTGGAGTGATAACAGATCAGTAACAGTATTATTAGGTAACTACAAGCCACGATCAAATATAAAATAAATACCTCTGAATAATATAAAGGGTATCTATATAATTTTCTGTATTTGGAAACCTTTTTTTATAACTTTAGATAACTTTTATAACTAGACATTACAGCAAAAAAWTTTAAAGAACCAATTTCTAAAAATCCACCTCCCCCTCCCCCCACAAGAGGTTGAAAAGTAACTAATGTCATAGTGTCACCTATTATTTTGTGTAATAAGTTTTTAACATAAATTATTTCACTGAACTAAACAAATGATTTTCAAAGTTATAAATATCAATACAGGTAGATATAAAGTAGGTACCTACTATTACTATGATACATTATGACAATTAGGTAGTCAGATTTAGTCATTTAAATCTAAGATTGCATTAATCACTTGACATTATGATAAAAAAAACACATACATATATTTCTAATTAAATATTCAGTAAGGAAGGTACCTACTTATGAATAAAGGAATTAATCAACATTAATAAGATTATAGACAAACCTAGATAATTATTGACTGTTGTAATTTAAAACTTATTAATGATYTAACAATTATATTGATGTATCTTATAAACTAATATGAACTTTATGTATATTCTTCCTACTTATCTCCCAAGTCCGAAAAGTAGAATTTATTAGTAACAATAGATACTAAAATTTAAACCTATACATTTTGTTCTACCTACATTAACATATAGGTACTATGTACCAAGTATTTATYGAATGCATGATTGTTTTATATTTTTATCTAGGTAGATAGAATGTATGTTTGAATTCCAACTAACTGAGTGTAATTGAAAGTGATTCCTTGGTTCAAACAGTAATCGCAATACATCATATTTTCTGTATCTATTTATTCTATACCTGTCATTAGTATTCAAGCATATTAGACTTGATATCAAGTATGTAATTAAACAATTCAAATAAAAAAATATTTTAATCTTAATCTGTATCTAAATAGGCACCTATCTATCTAGATCAATGTCCGTAAAATCATCTTGTCCTTATCTAGGTTAATGTGTAGCTGCACAACAAATGTACTAAAAGAAAAAAAACAACACAGATCTTACAAATGGGCAGGTGGAGGACGGTGTGTACCAATAAATAGTTTGTCTGCAACTCACTTTGGACGTTATGTTTCCATCGGAAACGCCGGGCAATATTGTCGGCACGGTCAAGCTCTCCCGTTTGGTCCTGGCACGGTGAGCAGACGAACCATGATTGACAGCAGCACGGGCAAGCCGGTTTGCGAACGGCTGCGATACGCGCGCGCTGTCGTCGTCGTCGGTGTACACGGACAGCGACCAGACGCCGGACGCGGCTACGGCGAGAGCCGCGCAAACGTACAACAAAACGGTTTTCATAGTGTCGTCTGTACGTCGGCGGACACTCTGAAACGGCGCATAATAATAACAACAATACAAATTTTGACGGGCGACAAAGGCGCACAACGGTAAACGGCAAATACGATCWCACACGGTGCACGTCGGCGRCGGACTGTCGTAGTCCGAGAGTCTGTCTGTCCGCGGCGGACTCGAACCACCACCACCAGCTCAATAGCTCACGGCGGACGCGTTCTAATACTACGGACTGCGGTTTAGTGGTGGTAAACGAACACAACAGTTGTTGTTGTTGTAGTTATCGACGGGCGCTACGTTTTTGTGTCGCAGTCGCGGTCGTTGTCGCCGCCGTCGTCCCACAATGACAACAACAGTCGCGATTCGCAGACTCGCAGTCGATCATAGTGTTATCGCTGATCAGTGATAATGAACGCTAGCGCTTAATAATAATAATAATAATTGAGATATTATGAGTAATATAAACGCGGAGATGGCGCTGAAATATTATTATTATTATTTAATACATTTTTAATAACAACAACGTACTGTAGTTATAAAAATTGTAGTAAATTGTAATACTTCGTAACCACTGAACAGATAAGACGATTCAACTCACGCACGCACAACAGTTCGCCAAATAAAATGCACACTCACACGGGACTACGGGAGCGCGCGCGCGCTCTACCCCGGGACACAATGTGGGCGGTCGGTGGTGTGTGTGTGTGTGTGTGTTGTACACCGCACGGCTCGTCACATCTGCAGCTGCCGAGCAAATTTGGGACGAATGGATCTTCACAGGAAAAAACTCCGGATCCATGACGTCATTAGTTAGTGTTATCAATATTGTCCTTATCAAATGTTATGGTGATTAAATGCGCGGCGATTTATTTTTGGCATTTGTTTAAATGAAGTTTTGAATGTGTTTTACGCTGTGTTATGTGTCATATTTGCATACATTCTTATTTCTTACAAATGTACAAGCTTGAATAATGTTATAAACTATTACATTTGTAAACACATTCATGCATGCGCTACAGCAAAAGAACCAAACAAAATATTAAACTTTGAATCAAAAGTTCCTGTAATGACACCAGTTAATAACCCATTGGCCATTAGTGATAGATCGTGGCTTAATAAATACTACAAATAACATTGATTATTAACAGTAAAATAACAAATAAAATAGAGATAATACTTGGAATGTGCAATCTAACAAATTTAAATGACGAAGACCAGAATAATGTTCTAAAACACTAGCTATGACAAAATACTTGATATATTTGCTAAAAATAAAGACTTGAGTTTAAAAAAAAAAACGCAGACAAATTTAAAAAGAAAAATAGAACCACAAGCACGTTATATTCAAAAAATAAAAAATTGGAAACGACTACTATGTCCTTTGCTGAAGAATTAATTATTAAAAAATCTTTGAAAGATGGTACAGATGAAGTAATTAACATAAGCAAATCTAAGTTTGACCACTCTTACATTTAAATAATATTTTTTTATTTTTTTATCAAGCAAACTTTTGACTTTAGACTATTGACTAATGTTTATATTTACACAATTACACATTATTTTTACAATTTGCACATTATTTATACACACTATATACAGGCCCGGATTAAGATCTACAGTGCCCATAGGCTGTAAAAAATTTGGTGCCCCTATTTAAAAAAAACATTGTACACATTTCTCTACTCGATACTTAATTAAATAATAAAATATTATTTTAGGTTTATTAGCCACAATACGTATGTACATGTATATAATATGTGAAAACAAGTAAAAACATAAAATTAAAATTAAATAAAATATATTTTAGATTTATAAAAATATAAAATAATCATATTATAAAAAATAACGAACCATTAATTTATACTTTTCTTTTTTTTTTATTATTGATTACATAGGATAATAAATATTAATAATATTAATATTATAACAATATTATCTATGATTGATTATTACTAWTTCGAATTTCCGATATATTTAAATAAAAATTTAAAATAACATCAGGATCGTATGCGGTGCCCGTGCCCCTAAATCCGTGGTTGTGTAGTCTGAAGCCTAACACTGCTTACGCCTTAATCCGGGCCTGATTATATAATTATACTAACTTATTTGTGATTTAATATTTTTTAACAAGTATAATTTACTGTGGAAAGTAATTTTATATAATGTATACTTTAAAAGAAACATTGATTAATTTTAAGTACATTATTGACAATTTTATCCCTACAAGGCTACAAAATAATTTTAAAACCATATTCTAATTGATTTAATATAATAACGGTTATACTTACTCAATAATGAACCTAATGTACAGCAAAAACACCAACATTTACAGTACCTACCTATTATTATATTGTAATTATTACCAATGTTTTTCCAAATTCCTTTTTTAATCACCTGTTTAGTTTAATAAAAGTTGGGCATTTGATAAGAATAATAAAATATAATATCAAAATAATATTGATAACACTAACTAATTACATTATGGATCCGGAGTTTTTTCCTGTGAAGATCCATTCGTAATTTGCGGGTTGTTCATCTCGCTGCCGTCCCGTGATCGTCGCATAACGCATAAGATCGCGCGCATCGTCAATCGTCATGGAAGATGGAACCAACTCGCGATTTTATCGACGACCCGTCGGATTTCGTCCATGACGACACCAACGCAGTCAATTATATATAGACATACTATAGTCACTATCCGTCTAAGATAGTTATATTATGTTATATTAATTAATAATTTATATTTTATGATAAATAGCCAAATAAGTAATTAATACCAACTATTAATTATTATATTGTGTGCTATATTATAATATACTGTGTAGGTATAAATATAAATATGTACAAGTTTCGTATATAATAATATACTTTAACACAAAAGTAAGATATTCGTACGTACTGGCCGCAGTAAGTTGCTAGTTCCCGGATGGGTGACCACCCGGGATTTTTAGCAACATATCCTTGCCACACATACACAAACACGTGTTACAACTTACAAYCCTGCCCACTTAAAAACCTACAAATAAATACACACAAATAACCCCTACCGTACCACCCCACGCCCAATGGCCTATGTTGCCGTGGGTTCCCTTTACAAAAAAAAGAAAAGTAAGATACGTATATAGTAGATTATAGAATCCTTAACTGGCTAATGGCTTAACTGCTAAAATCGAACAGACAAAAATGTATCTCCATAGTAGTATAGTATCGTCTTTCCATAGTAGTCGGCACTTCCAACTTCAGCAGGCGGTCACAYTCAATCTTCCTGCACTCATCCCGAAAAGTATTACAAATATAATAATTATTGAAGGTTTATAGAAAACAGCTCTACAATTTGAATATTACATATAGATAATTACTTATATAATAATATAGAGATGAAAATATTTAGTACACAAGTRCTAATTTTATGAAAACATAAATCTTTAAACAATATTATAGAGTCCCATTTATTAGGTACTATAGTCTATGACGTGCYTATCTTAAGTGAAAATTATAGGTTCCGATTTTTTTAATTACCTGGGCCCTAGCCAATAGCGTATTTGAGTGTAGGTCATATAACCACTTATAATTTTTACTCTATGGCTAATAAACACTTCAAAGCTATTTCCATTCTATCGTACTTATAATATTATCTATAAAATATAWTTGAGTACTTATACAATTTATTTTATAAACATCTATAAATACAATTTTGTGTTATCATATAATGATAATTATAACATTATTATGAACAATTTCATAAATTAAATACTTTTTGCATTTTGCAAAAAAGTCTCAATTTGCTGCCCTCCAAAATATGATCCATTTGTAGGAGGCTTTAAAGGTATGGAAACTCAGTACTTGCACATTGTAATTTTAAATTGCTTGCCTATTATAAAATAATATATTTTTATTTTTAATAAAATGTTATAAGGTGTCCTCTGTAATTCCACTCATAAACCTTGTATCTTTGTTTAATCGTCTATGTTGCTTCAACCTAACTAAATCTAAAAAATGAATAGGTTGGATACATACACAAATTTTTGGTTTAAGACATGTGAAGTTAAAATTTATATYAAATTCTATTACGAAGAATTACAATTTTAGTTATTTTAGATTCTGAACGAAGTGATGAATGTATTGATTTTAAAATGCTGTGTGTGTGTTTTTTTTTTTTAGATGTCTGTGTACAGCATAACTAGTCGAAATAATGCTTCAATTTCAAACTTTGGGGGTGGTTTCCGATGTAAAAGTGAATATCCTCGGTGCATTATA